TGCTGGGGTACAAAGGTGTTTATCCACCCTCTTTTGTCTTAGCCAATGAAAGGGACCGAGGAAGAGAAAGGGCTTGGAGATGCCCCATGCCCGTATTTGCTTGCTAGAGCCTTTGATTCTCTGAGCCCAGGAAAGAAAATGGGAAAAGATGAAGCATTTCTTTTTTGTCCTTCGAGCCAGTGTTACCTTAAGTAACGAAGTATAACCGTGTCGATTGTCAATTGTATAATGTCCATTTCAGTTCCGTAGAATGTGGCACAGTGGGATGGCATTCTACTTAACTATTAGTTTTACAAGTTCAACCCTATGGAGTTGGTCAGGTTTAAGACAGGGAGAAAAGGTAATTCCTATATAGATATGCACTATTCAACATTCCTGAGGGGATATGAGATGGGGGTATGTGAATCTACTCTTTCTCGAAGGTCACAAGTCTGTATACACCTAATCTTAGTTTAAGTCAGAGCTAGCATATCACACCCATGATTTTCTATTTCACCGTCATTTTTAATGAGATAAAGTAAAGCAATGGTTGAAAATAGATTTAAAGAAAAACTTTGAAGACATGACTATATAGATATGCACTCTTCAGTGCAGTAGCCACTGGTCACAGGTGACTGTCTATGTTTAAATTAATTGAAATTGGGTTAAAGTAAAAATTCAGTTCCTCAGTCCCACTAGCCACATTTCAAGTGCTTGACAGTCATAGGTGACTAGTGGCTACCATATTGAATGTGCAGATACGGAGCACTTCCATCGTCATATGAAGTTCTGTTGGGCGGTGCTGTGCTGGAGCTGTCTTACACTAGATCAGTGTCTTTTCGAGTTCACTCTATCTCGAAGTCAGCTCTCTTTAGAACTTGATTTGGCACTGGATGTACACCCGCCCCGTCTAATACTATAGCCACTTAACCATATGTGGTGTTAAGCACTGGAAATATGGCTGGTCTGAGTTGAAATGCTTTATAAGATACACATTGGATTTCAAAGCCTGAGTATGAATAAAGAACGTCAAATATATCATTAATAATTTTATACCAACTCTATGTTGAAATATCATTTCGATGTATTGGGTTAAACAAAATTTCTTATTGCAATTAGTTTCACTTGTTCCTTTTTTACCTTATTTAACGTTGCTATAAGAAAATTTTAATTTACATACGTGGTCCATGTTATATTTCCACTGGACCTCTTTACTCCCTGTGTAACTCCAGAATGCTCTCCCTTTCTCTGTCTCTTTCTCTAGATCTGTGCTTCCTAGTATAGTAACCATAAGCCACATGTGTACGTTTAAATTTAAGTGAATTAAAATTAAGCAAAGTGTAAAATGCAGTTTGCCCATCACATTAGCCGCATTTCACACACTCAGTAGTCACATGTGTTCAGTGGCTACCATATTGCACAGCACAGATGCAGACCATTTCCGTCATTGTGGAGAGTTCTATTGGACAGAGCTGGTACAGGTTGTACACAGTGATGGCAAAAACGACAGAAGTGGGGCGTGAATGCCTAAAGCTTGGGCGATGTTTCCCACGGTGCCTAACTCTGCAACACGTTATCCTCCCACCTCCTGGAGCCCATCTGTTCCACCTTTGTCAGACATGTTTATGCACATCTTATCTCCTCTTCTCTCCTGCAAGGGGTGTGGCAGCGTATCACCCTCTGAACACACTTTCCTCCACCCTCCTGTCTGTACTTATATCTAACACTGTGCTTTGTACACTATAGGTACTCAGTAAATATTTGTTAACCGGCTGGAGTGGCAGTTCCTAGCAAGTGATTGGACATATGTGGCTGTTGCTAGTGGGAGATCTCTAATGGCTTGGCAGCAGGGGGATAAAAAAGAAAGAGAATGTCAAAGCCGGGTTCCCAAGGAAGAAGGAAGAGCGACTGGCAGAGAGACAGAAAAGAGGAAATCAGAGGGACGGTGGTAACCTGGCATCTCATACACGGCACCATGATCCCTCTGCTCGCGCTAGCAGCCCTTCACGGGTAGCAACAAGACACATTGCTGGGGAATTCACAGCCTTAGACAACAGCTATAGAAAAGGTGCAAAAGAAATCCAAAATATTATTATGTGATAAATAAACATGTAAGGCCTATAAATGAGCAGTTGAAATGGCATGAAAATTAAGGGTCTGGTGAGGAGAAAAATGAAAAATGTTCTCTCCCTGGGCCAGCTGGTTTGAGTTACATTTTACGAGCAGCATGTGGATTCCAGCACCCTTGTTGAATTAGCAGCAGAATCACACATTAGTTTTAAGGCTCCCTCTCGAAAAGGAACATCGTAACGATTTTTAATTGGGGCTGATAAAAATGTAGCATTACTTGTAGGTTCCTGAGAGAAGTGAGTTGTGAAATTGGGTTTTCATTAAACCTAATGATGGAAAATTAAGTATAGTGAGTCTGGTGAAATGGGGTGTGATAAAAGGCATCACTTCTGCATTATCAGGGGTTAATAGGGAATAGGTGAAGTAAGATACATTGGAAAAGGGAGTCCAACTAGTTGAATTAATAAACCTTGAAACTCCCTTGGTTCTGAGTCTTCATAGCATCATTAGCACCAGCACTGACATTATTACAAATGTTACAGCAACACAAGTTGCTAAATTTCAGACACGTTTGTTTTCCATTCCAGTGTTGGTTTTGCTGACACCAAGTTTACAGTCTGTCTAGCAATGTGTTTAGAGGAAAATATCCATATTGGTAGCTATTTGGTTTTGGGAACACTTGGCATCTCACAGAGGTTGTCAGATGCTCTTTCCTAAGGAGCCTATCTCTGCCAGGCAACTGGTCTCCCAGGCAGCCCAGGTCCCAGGCCCGTGGGTCTCTGAAGATACCTGTCACCATATATGATAGTGGCTTAGGTGGGAGACACTCACAGAGCTCCAGGCATTCACTCCGGTTCATCCTGTCCTGGGAATCGTGAAGTGCAGCATCTAGAGAAGCAAACTCAAGTGCTCCTTTTTTCTCCATCCCCATGAGTGATATTCACTGGAAGGAGGCCTCAGATCCATGGCAGCTGGGACGTCTACAAGAAATAGCATGAGTCTTTAACGAGGAGTCTTCTGAAAATCCTTCAGTGGTTTCCCACTGGCTTGAAGATTCTTAGACATTCACACCTTTCTAGGCTGAACTCACACCGTGTCTCACGGCTTTACCCCCATCATATTTCCACCCTCTACCTCCACTCCATCATATCTTCCTTGCCCTTTACCTAGATGTGCTTGGCTTTTCCAGCTTCTCCGCTCATGCTTCCAGTGGTTCTTCTTGTCTGTCTACCCTACTAGACCACCCAGCCTTGAGGGTGAAACCTGTATTCTGTGCATTTCCAGTGTCTACCAGAGTCCCTGGAACAGAGTGGGGTCTCAGTAAATCTAACTCCTGATCACAAGGGTGTGATGGAGAAGGGAAGCTGTGCCTACATTTGCCAGCTCTATGTTTAAGCAACGCCAGTGAAGACGTGTTACCTGTTACCTCAAATCCCAGGAGAAAAGTAAGCAGTATTTTTCTCATGCTTGTCAGAAAACTTGTGCTTACATCTCACCTAGGCCCTTCTTCCTGGTGCATAAACCTATATATTCTAGATCCTTCTGTTGGCAATCCTTCCTTACTAGGAAGAGTTTTGCTCATGCTATCACATAGGAGGAAAGTTCACTTTTACATACAGAATCAGTGTTTGATGGATTATTGCGACAGACAGAAACAAGCTGAAAGATACGTGGATTTTGAAAAGACAAGTTGCAGAAAATGAGGAATGTATGCTAGAACTCCCAGGGAACGAGTGTGGCATAGGCCCCGTGGGGTCTGCCTTGGTCCCTTGCAGTGCCTGAAAACATCTGGGTGAGACACATCAGATCTGGCAGTGCTCATCTTCTGCATGCCACAAACAGGAGGGTCTAGAGCATAGACTGTCCATGTCTTTGGGAGGAGGTTGGGGAGACCAAGCCTGAACGGTTCTGGGTAAGACGAACTGGCCCTGAAAGTTCGACAGTGTATGGCTGGCAGGGAGTTCATAGGGTAAGAAAGTGGTTTTACTGGTCTAAGGGGAACAGAGGAATTCAAATTCCAACCTAAGCAGGCATCAGTTTTGAGAGTGGCCCAACTAGTAGGGAGCAATTAACACAATTCAGTGTGTCTAAAGATTATTATCAGGCAAGATTATAGATCTTATACCAAGGATAGATGTATGAAGGACATGAGGCGTAGGACCCAGGCCTGGGAGAAGTAGCTGTCAGGACTGAAGGAGGAGGCTCAGGCTTCCCCACCTGCAAGGTAGGTTCAGCATCACTCCTGGATTAAGAGTGTTAAATTCTGGGGAAACTAGACAGTAGGCAGAAGGTGATCATTGTTGCAGAGCCCATAGCTGGAGAGCAGCTGAGAGGGTCAGGGTCCCTGCTATCTACTGCGGATCCAAGACTGGCTCCAATTCCTCCCAGTGTATGACCCAAAGGAAACAAACTAGTAGAGAAACCAGGTCACACGGGGATGCAGGCAAATGGACCGGAAGCAGACACATGGCTCTGATCTCCAGGGACCTGAGGCTCTCCTCACCTGCAGGCAGGCACCAGAGACGATTCCAGGTAGTCTGCTTCCTCAACAGGAGGGTGCTCCTAGTATGCATCCTGCCTGGCTTCTCACTGGTTCTGGAATTGGCCTGGATTGGCTGAGACCACCCTGACAAGCCTGAAGGAAGGACAGAAACAGGCAGGAGATGACAGCCAACCTGGAACCCTGTCTTTACTCCATCAAGATGCACCCTTGAAGTAGAAACGAGCCAAGGGTTATTGTGTCACTGGTTTGTTTGTTGTTTTCATGTTTAAATCTACCGCCACAGCCACACCCGGGAAACCGTGTTTCTTTATTCTTTCTGCAGTTCCCTGATCAGCTGAGTCCTGAGTTAGTTCCCTCTGCCCTCCTGAGGGCAACCTAGGGGAGGTACAGAGGACAGAGGACAAAACTCCTATAGGTGATGGTCTGTTCTCCCTCCTTCTTTTTGAAGCAGATGGCAGCCGTGGGGAGTTGTCCCAGCCCACCCTCACGATCCAGACTCACCCCTACCGGGCCTGCGACCCCGTGGAGATGAGCTATCCCCGGGACCAGTTCCAGCCCGCCATCCGGGTGGCTGACCTGCTCCAGCACATCACTCAGATGAAGAGAGGCCAGGGCTACGGGTTCAAGGAGGAATATGAGGTAAGAGACCAGCCTGCGGGAAACTGCCTGATGGGCACAGAGGCTTCGTGGGTACTAAAGGTACTCAAAGTATGGTCCCGGGTTCAGCAGCGTCAACACCACCTGGGAGCCTGCTGGAAATGCACCATCTCAGGCCCACCCAGACCTACTGCATCAGTTTAGAGTCACACCTGCCTGCAATGGGAAGATATCAATAGAATGGCTCCAGCCCCCATCCCACATGTTGTAGAAAAGCCAGCAGATCACCCCTGCCAGTGATTTTCAGCAGGCCTGCTTGCTCCTGGTCACCTCTTGCCTCATGGTCATGCTTCTGTTGTGTTTTCAACACCCCCAAGTCAATATCGCATCTGGTGACTGCTGTCCTCCCTCTCTCGGTACCTGCTCCGCAGCCCCAGCCTTGGACATCCCTTACCTTCCTCCCCAGCGAGCCTCTAATGCCAAGGATTCGTGAGTAGCAGTTGTTACTAAGGTTTAGGGAATCACAGAAGGATTGCAGCCGCGTACAGGAAGTACCTGAATACAAGTCCTCCTGAGGTGAGGTTCTGGTCACCAGACAGGTCTCTATCCACTTCCTTCCCCAAAGTTCCTTTTAGTGTCCTAAAATTTTCCCTTTTTTTTTTCTCCTCCTTTTTATAGCAGCCAGGAAAAGAACTCCACGCCCTCTACTTTATTATGCAGAACAGTTATAGCTATCTTTATCTCACTCCTTTTGTTTCACTCCTTGCCCTTTAGGCCTCACCTTTTACAAACAAAACGTAGAAGGAAAAACTCATTAAGATGTTTTCCTGCACTAAAGAGTACCTGGCCCCCAAGAGGAATTTTGCATCCCTCCTGAGCCTGTCAGAATCCAGCTGCAGGCGGCTTTGGAGCCAAGCATCTCTTTCTTCTCTTTTCCTTTCCTCTCTCTACCTCTCCTCCATCCTTCCCAAAATATCTTTTGAGCATTTGCTGTGTGCCAGGTTCTGAGTTAGTTGCACTAGGTTTTGTTGTGGTGGTGGTGGTGGTGGTGTTTTGTTTTTTTTTTTCTCACATCCATCCTGTGGCCCAGATATGCTGGGTTCAGTTTCACTGTGTGCAGTGAAAATGCATTGACTCAGATGCTACACATTTGGAATTCTTGATACTGCAGACTAAGTTTATCTCTCAGACTGTATTCTGAGAAAGAGCTTACAAAGCAATATTTCAGAAGTTGTGTGAGGTCATGAAATTGTGCTAAATTTGGCGGTAGGGGGTATCCAGACATCCAGATTCCAGTACAACAAGCTGTGTGGCCTGTCGTTTTGCTACCTGAGTTTTAAAGTTCTTTATCAGTTGAATGAAGAGTTTGGATAGGTGATTACTAAGGGCCTGTCTGGTCCTAAAACTTTGAGAGTATAAAACATGGTAGCAAGGAGAACGTTTGACACAGTTAATGCAAACAAAAACGTTTATGTCAATGGACATGAGTAATTACCAGCTCAGGAGAACCAGCAGTTAACTTCTTTTGTTTTGGTTTGGTTTTTTTGTTTTAACATCTTTATTGGAGTGTCATTGTTTTACAATGGTGTGTTAGTTTCTGCTGTATTACAAAGTGAATCAGCTATATGTATACATATATCCCCATATCCCCTCCCTCTTGCAACTCCCTCCCACCCCCCCATCCCACCCCTCTAGGTGGTCACAAAGCACAGAGCTGATCTCCCTGTGCTATGAAGCTGCTTCCCACTAGCTACCTATTTTACATTTGGTAGTGTATATATGTCCATGCCACTCTCTCACTTCATCCCAGCTTACCCTTCCCCCTCCCCATGTCCTCAAGTCCATTCTCTACATCTGTGTCTTTATTCCTGTCCCCAGCAGTTAATTTCAAATACGGTCTAAGTAAAATAGTATTTTTCGGGCTTCCCTGGTGGCGCAGTGGTTGAGAGTCTGCCTGCCGATGCAGGGGACACGGGTTCGTGCCCCTGTCCGGGAAGATCCCACGTGCCGCAGAGCGGCTGGGCCCGTGAGCCATGGCCGCTGAGCCTGTGCGTCCGGAGCCTGTGCTCCGCAACGGGAGAGGCCACAACAGTGAGAGGCCCACGTACCACAAAAAAAAAAAAAGAAAAAAAATAGTATTTTTCATATACTCAATCTATAAATTTTGGGAGGATACTGGGATAAGAATTGCAGGTGACGGTCTCATCACCTCACATCCCTGGGCCTTATTTCCTAGGAGGTTGGTTAAATGATCCTGATCTCAGCGGGCCGTGGGGTCCAGCGGCTGGACCTCGGTCCTTGTCTTCTTTGAAAAAAGAATTCAGCAAAGAGACAGAGATTATGAAGCAGATAAAATGTTTATTAGATGCAAAGTACGTGTGGAAGTATACACAGGCAGACTCAGTGAGTCGTGCCCAGTAGGGGGTGTGGCTAAAATTGCTCATGTGAGGGCAGTTTTCCACATTCCCTCTGGCCAGTCATCTTGCTCGTGCCCATATTTGGCCTGACTCAGGGCCCTGCCCAATGTGCACGCACATCTTTCAGCCAAGATGAATTCTAGCGTGAGGGTTTCTGGGAGGTTGGGACATATTATGGGCTGGCGCCCCCTCTCACCTTTGACCCCTGAGTATCTTTTCTGCACATGTGTGGTCTAGGATGTCTCCTTGACCATAGGAATGAGAAAAATGTGCTCGCCTTATCTTTTACTCAAGCAGGGCTCTGCTCCTGTCATTATCTTTATTTCGAAATGTCTACAGGAGACTGTTTGCAGCTGCTCAGCCTGGGGCCCATCTCTCTCCAGCCTCAATCCCAACGCCTTAAAGTATGGTGGGGGGGGGCATGTGTGTGTGCTCACGCTCACTTGTGTAGACCTGTGTGGTAAGTGAATGTCAGGAGAAGGTGTGTTGTTTGTAAAGTCGTACTCAATATCATGAAGGTTTAATAAATTATTAGTCATAATATTTAATTTGTTTTAAAGTTTCAAATAGCATTAAGGGACATGTGTGGCTTATCAGAAAGGGGGCCAAGTAGTCAAAGCCTGAGAAACACTGTTCTAAGAACTTGCGGTCTAAGATTTGAAAACAGAAATACAAATACATTTGACGACTTTGGTGCATTTCCTTCCAGAATGATATCTCTTAAAGGCATCCATACTTATGTGGTGGGATTTGGATTGATTTTTTTTTCATTTATTTTTTTTGTGCCTTTTTACATTTTCCAAATTTTCTAGCATGGAAATGAACTGCTTTTATTTCTGAGAGAGAAAACAATAAATGTTGTTCCATCATTTGAACTTCAACCATAAATATCATTAAGTAGAGTAGACTTGCCCTCAGTTAGTTCAAGTTATATTAATCAGTTAGCTTGAATGCTTAGCTTCTAGTTAACAGCATTTCCTGATTAACTAGAGGTTAATTGGAAAACATTACTTCATAGGTGTCTTTCCACACTGTCTTTCCACTTCCTTAGACTATAGCTGGATATTGCTTTGATCATCAAGCCTCCTGTGATGTCTGGAATCTACATACTGAACAAAGAATCACAAATCTACTTGAAGACTGTTTCCTATTGTAGATACATGATTCCTGGGTCTTCAATCCTACTATCAAACCCACACGCCATGTGCTCCGTTGCCTGTCACTCGCCTACCCTGATCATTTTTTTCATACAAATTAGTGGGTTTGACAAGTTGACATATAAGGGACCTCTCAGCTATAGCAAGCTGTGTCTTATAAAATTCACTTAAGTTGTACAATCACTTACAAATTTGTTCATTAAATATTTACTGAGTAGTTACTATTTCTAAGAACTGTTCGAGGTATTTGGGATACAACAGAGAGCAAAAATGGACAAAGATACATGCCCTTGTGAAGCCTGTGTTCTAGCAGAGGAAACCCAAGATAAACAATAGACTTAAAGATAAGGAAGTTATTTTACAATAACTTACCTAATGTAATATGTTAGTAAATAATATAGTATGTTAGACAGTGAAAAACACTGTTTGCTGTGTTACAAGCTACCCCAGATCTTAGTGACGTAGAACAGCCAGTTTATTGTGCTCACTGATTCTGTGGGTCAGGCATTTGGACAGGGTACAACAGGGATAGTCTGTCTCTCTTCCATGATGTCTAAAGCCTTGACTGGGAATGCTCTAAGGCTTGGGACTGAAGATCTGAAAGTGTCTTCACTCAGATAGCTAACAGCTGGGATCTCAGCTGGGATTGCCAGCTGGAACACCTACACTCAGCCTCTTCCGGTGGCCTGGGCTTTCTCACAGCATGGTTGCCTCGGGATCGCTGAACTTCTTACATGGTGGCGCAGAGCTCTGCCGGTGAGCCCGCTAGCTAACAAGGTGGGAAGCGCGTCACCCCTTGTTACCTACAGTTGGACGCCACACAGCATCGCTCCAACCACCTTATATTGGTTATACGCAAACAATACCTGCCTACATTCTGGGGGAGGGGAATTAGACTCCATCTCTTGATGAAGGGAGGTGTAGCTGCAAGATTCTAAGAGAGAATACAGAACAGGAGTAGTGGAAAATATAATCTGTGGATAATACAGTCTTCCACAAGTAAGTACCATGGGAAACGAAAGAGAAGCGCAAGGAAGGGAGATGGTATATTCCAGGGACATGAGGTGAAGGAGTTCCAGTATTAAACAGGCTGAAAGGGCAGTCTTTAATTAGAATATGAGATTTGAGCAGAGACATGCTGGAAAGTATTTGGAGGAAAAGAGTCAAGATCAAGGGAGTAATATATCTGGCATGTACAAGGAGGTCAAGTGTGGTGTGAGTCCAGTGAACAAGAAAGAAAAGTAATAGAAGGTGCAACTGGAGAAATAAAGGGGGCCTGATCGTATAGTGCCTTATAAGTCATTATAGGGACTTTGGCTTTTACTCTGAATGAAATGAAAAACCACTGCAGCGTTTTGAGAAGACAAGTGATAATTTTCTGACATTATTTTGAAAGATTGATTCTTGCTGCTCTGTGGAGAATTGACAGAGGGAGGAAAGGGTAAAAGCAGGGAAACCAGTTGCGAGC